AAAAAGAAACTAAGAAAACAATCCCATTTACAATTAATCAAAAAGAATGAAATATATAGGAATAAATTTAACCAAGGAGGTAAAAAAACTATTGAAAACTATATGACATTGATGAAAGAAATCTAAGGAAATACAAGTAAATGGAAAGATATTCTGAGCTCATGGATTGGAAGAATTCATATTTTTTAAATATTCATACTACCCAAAGCAACAGACAGATTGAATGCAATACCTATCAAATTTCTAATAGCATTTTTCACAGAACTGTAACAAAGAATCCTAAAGTTTGTATGAAATCACAAGAGACCCCAAATAGCCAAAACAATCTTGAGAAAGAAGAACAAAGCTGGATGTATCATGTTCCCAGATTTCAAACTATACTACAAATCTACAGTAATCAAAACATTACAGTACTGGCAGATAAATAGACACATCAGACACATAGATCAATGAAACAGAATAGAGAGCTCAGAAATAAACCCATACTCATTGGTCAATTAATCTAACACAAAGGAAGCAAGAATATACCATGGGGAAAAGACAACCTCTTTGATAAACGGTGTTAGGAAGATAGTACAGTTACATGCAAAAGAATCAAACTGGACTACTTTCTTACACCATATACAAAATAAACTCAAAATATACAAGTACAGCATGTCTCACTTGTATGTGGAATTTCAAAAACAAAACAAACAAAATTAGACTCATAGATAAAGAATACAAATAGATTTTTGCCAGAAAGCAGGGGTTGAGGGTGGACCAAATAAGTGAAGGAGATTAAGAGGTATAAACCACCAGTTATAAAATAAACAATCATGGAGATGTAATGTACAGCATAAAGGATATAGTCAGAAACGCTATAATAACTTTGTATGGAGATAGATGGCTACTAGACTTATCCCTGTGATCATTCCACAGTGTATGCAAATGCAAAGTCATTATATAGTTCATATGAAACTAGCATAACAGTGTACAACTACATTTCAATAAGAAAAATAAAAATAATTTTAAAATATATAAAAGGAAGAAAATTTAGACACATCTTACAACATGGATGAACTTTTTTGCTAAGTAAAATAATTCAGCGACAGTAAGACTAATATTGTATTATTCTATTTATATGAGGTAATACAGTAGTCTAATTCATGAAGACAGAAAATAGAATAGTGATTGCCAAGGACTGGGGGCAATGGCGAATGGGAAGTTACTGTTTAATGGGTATAGCATTTCAGTTTTGCAAGATGAAAAGAGTTCTGGAGACAATGTGAATGTATTAAAACACTACTGAACTGTACACTTTAAGATGGTAAACTTTACCTCAATTAATAATGAAAAATACAATGAACTCTGTTATGTGTATATGCCATAATAAAAATATTAAAATGAATAAAAGTAGTGAAGTACTAACACATGGCATAACATCATGAACCTTGAAAATGTTATGCTTAGTGAAAGAAGCCAGACACACAAGACCATATATTGTATGACTCCTTTTATATGAAATGTCTAGAATAGACAAATCCATAGAGACAGAAAATAGATTAGTGGTTTCTGAGGGTTGTGGGGAGGGAGGATTGGGAGACACTAACTGGTACATGGTTTCTTTTTGGAGTGATGAAAATATTCTAGAATTAGATAGTGGTGACGGATGCACAATTTTGTGAACATACTTTAAAATACTGAATTGTATACTATTAGAGATGAATTTATGGCATATGGATTAATTTTCAATTTAAAACACTGGAAACAATCAAGGTGTCTACAAACATCCATGCACAGGGAATAAGTTAAACTTAAAAATTATAGTAAGTCCATACAATGGGATTGTGTGCAGCCATTAAAAAGACATTTAAAAATGAGAAGAAAGAACATGTTATATGGAAAAATCACCAAGTCATACTGTTAAGTTAAAAACAGAAAGAAAAAAAAACCTAAGTACAAAAATGGTGAATGTATGATCATCTTTGTGAAATGAAAAACAACACATATACAGGTAAATGCATCTCACACACACATATCTGTCTGTATCTTTGTGTGTGCACACATATACAAATCTGACCCTTTCCCCCTAGTAATTATTGAAAAGTGACTATAATGGTCAATTTTGGACATTTTTACTTTTCATTTGGTATCTTTCAGAAGTATTCATTTTTCTAACCTTATACTATTTTACCTCTTTTACTTAGTTAATCTTTTTAATGTTTATGGAGGTCATCTGGGCAGAGTTAATAGTTCTCTTTACTTTCTTCTTTGTATGTCATAGAATTCTAAAAAATTCCTAATGAAATATTATATTAAAAATCTATAATAAAACAAAAGGTACATGTACTCTTCCTCTAAATCATTCGTATTTTTCATTTTATGAGAACTTTACAGAAACTCCATGGTTCTTAACCTTATATTTGTACTTAAACACAATTAACAGATAAATCCTTTATATCTGTACATAGAAGAGAAAAAATCAAGGTGAAATTGAGACGAAAGCTAATTTCCAGAAGAAATCACAATGAATCAACCAACTTCTCAATTTAAAAAAATCCCTAAATGAAAACAATTATCACCTAGAGGTGGGTTCAGTGTTGTTCTCTGTTGTCGTCGTTTGAGTACCTGAAATTATGAAAGAAATTCAGATCTACAGCACTTCTCAAATCTTATTCAATTGGCCTTCAACTTAACAACGCCCTCTTCTGGTTCCATGATTCACATGCAGCTAGCTTATCAATGTTAGGGGGGAAAAATGCTGAACTTGTAAAAGATGATGGGGAAAAATCATTTTGAAACCTAGAAGTAAAAGGCTTTAGTTTTCCAATCTAATATAACAAAAATAAATAAAAATCCAGTGTCAAGTATAATGGTCGTTGCCAAAAGCTGGAGAGAAGGGAAAACGAGGTTATTATTTAATAGATACAAAAAATTCTGGAGATTGTTTATACAACTTTGTGAATATACTTAACACTACTGAACTGTACATTTAAAAATGGTTAAGACAGTAAATTTTATGCTACATGTAATTAACCACAATTTAAAATAAAAATAAATAAATCCATTTGAAGTATAAATAGTTCAGGTTGATGACAGCAGCTCCAAGGTGGGACTGTTTTCACCTCAAGCCAAACGTTTACCATAAATCAAACCCATCTGGATTTGATACAATTTTTAATTCCAGTCATTTTACTAAAATAAGCACATATTTCTCTTAATTTATTAAAACTTTAGCTATAAAACAACTTAATTTCCACTTTCCCCTTTAAAGTCTTTAGTCTTGCAAGATTTAGAGACTCATGTAAAAAGACTGAAAATGTTACTTCATTTACTTTGGGAAATAATAAAATAGCATGCAATATAAAAATATATATAAAACTCCAAAGATTGACTTGTACAACTGGGTAGAAGCTATGACACTCACTGAGATAAAGACTAGAAAAGGAGCAAGTTAGGAGGATTAGGGATAGACCAGCTTTTCTCAAAAAGGATGATTCTGCCCCCCAGGGGAAATTTGGGAGTTCCTGGAGACATGTTTGGTTGTCATACCTGGAGGCAGTTGGGGGATACTGGTCTGGGTTGGGATACTGCTAAACATCTAACAATGCACAGGACAGGCTCCCACCACAAAGAGTGATCTGGCCTCAAATGTTAGTAGGGCTACAAGTAGGAAACCTTAAGTTAAGAGTCCTCTCTTCTGAATTCTGCCACTCTTTCTTAGCCTTTGCAGCAGGCTTCTCCCCTTCTGTTTCTAATTACTCAATATTCTGTCTTTAGCAGCCCACTTCTCTTTTCTCTACATTTTCTCTTGGGGATATCACCCATGGCTTCAACTACCACATCTGTGTGGCTGACTCCTACAACTTTATGTCCAGTCCCAACTGTTCGTTTTGATTTCCTTTCATATCTTTTCATTAACTTACTACTACATTTATCTTTATAAGTAGCATCTGTTAGAAAATCACAGGGTCATTTATGTCCTAAACATTTACTGAGTATCTAGTTTGTGTAAAGGGTGGCACTAGTACTTGGAGGAAGGTAGTGATGGTGGAGAAAAGAGGTAATCATGGTAAGTGCTTTAAATGCATTATCCCTAATTATGGCAATAGTCTTGCAAGGAAGAAATTACTGTCTTCTGGAAATGAAAGCTGCAAATGTTTAATCAACTATTTAAATACCACAGAGCTTGTAAATGTCAGAGTATTTCAAAAGTCTGTTGTATGTTGACATTAAGGATTGAATTCTCTCCATTAAAAAACACTGAGGACAGTGCTGGGAAAGTGTGGGGATGGATGTGAATGATGAAGGTCTAAGGAGTTCCAGTAGCCTTTTTTTCCAAGCCACATTACACCCTCTTCCGGTTACTTACCTTATATCATAGAATATAAAACACCATCCATAGAAGGATGAAATCATTATTTTCCCTGACTTGAAAAAAAAAGTTGACATTCAAAGTATTACATACCTTCAATTGTCGATATTTCCTAGATGTTGAAATTTTTTTTAAAGGTAAGCCTTCAGAGATTTCTAATTTGTCAAAATGCGAAGAAAAAAACGATCTTAGATTCTATGACATACGGTGAATTTGTTTTCCTCGTTCAATTTCCACGGACTGTGCTAGTGTGCTATTCTGACCTTTAGTCAACTAATAGGTTTGTATATTGCTTTCTAAATGATCGTAGTTTCATGGCTTTGTGTTGTGCTTCTGCAACTAGATTGTATCGTCCTTAGCTATTCAATCACTCCTTTGTTCTCCTCCCTCCCCCACTTCCCCTACTCCACCCCGCCCTCCAGCGCCTTTGCACAATCTATGCAGAGTTTACCATTTAGGAGTAAACCTGAATTTCTTTTAATCTTAGAATTGCGTACGTAGTATATATGACTGTCCACAGATTTATTTAGACGGGGTAGCGGCGGGGGGGGCATTATGTTAAATACACGCATGTTTTTTTAAGACCCATCCGTGTAGAAACGTTAAAATGGGGTGGGGTAGGGAGCGAGGGCGGAGGCGGAGAGGGGATATACGTCTCAGGATACAGGAAATACGGAAAGAGCGAAACCGGGAGGAAGTTCAGTGCCTGGAGGGGATCCGCCGCCATCTCAGGTCTTTTGGCCTCGCCGGGGTCCACCAGAGAGAGCTGTCGCCCGGCTCCTATAGTCCTTATGGGGGATCAGCCTTGTACCTCCGGGAGATCCACGCTCCCAGCTGGAAACACGCGGGAAACTAAACCTCCAAAAAAGCGCTGCCTCCTAGCTCCACGGTGGGATTATCCAGAAGGAACCCCCAACGGAGGTCGTACCCCTCTCCCTTCGGCACCTCCTTCTGCATCACCGGGCCTGAAGTCGCACCCACCTCCTCCAGAGAAGTAGTACAATATACTTCTCCCACCCCAAACCAGGTCAGATGCTTTCTTTCTCATCTGGGACATTCAGGCTCTATGAAACTTAATTATGTGTTTTCCCAAATCTCCTTCTCCCTTTTCCTATTCTTTCTACGATTTCAAAATTGAAGAAACAACATACAGGCATTTAATAGCTTTTTCACAAAATGTGCTTGGATGAATTTATGGATATTTAATAATAATAAGTAATTATTTTAATATATTAGCTTTGATAATCTTGGTTAAATTTTTAAGAAATACACTTAAATTTTTTGATATGCTTGAAAGTAATTCAGTGGGGCCCAGGCAAGGGGTACAAGCAAAATTTGCATGAGTTGATAATTGTTAAAGCTGGGTGATGTATACATGAGGATTCATTGAACTGTTCTTGCTACTTTTGTGTATATTTGAACTTTCTATTCAAAAAATGCTTGGTTCAAGATCAATAACAACCTTGTGTTGAAGGGTGAATTCTTATGGCTAGCACTGCGCTAAGAGTATTGTAAGGTGAGCCTTCAGAAGTGTGTGTTTCTTTGTGTATAGCAGGAGAATTTAATGAGTAAAAAAAGTTGCAGTATACTAAGTCAAACCCAAGTGCCATAGTGTTTGCTAGTTAAGGTATTTAGGAAGCATGCAGGATGGACCAAGTCATTCTGTCTGGAAGTAATCGTGAGCCATCAAAGAAGGGGGTAACTTTGGGTGGGCCTTAAAGGGCGAGTGACATCTGCCTTGTGGAAGGGGAGGGAATGCTTTTCAGACCTAGCGATTTCCAGAACAAAAGCCCCAAGACAGGCTTGTTCTAGGAAAAGCTTGGCTGTAACTGAATCTATGAGAAGGACTAGAGGTGAAATAGAGTGTTGAAGGGCCTGAATGTTGTGCTAAGGAGTATGCAGTTTAATCCATAAGCAGTGACAACCATTGAAGATTTTCAAGAAAGTGATGCATTTTACTATCAGAGAAACAATCTTCTGTTTACATGAGCTTATAGAAGGCAAAAAATGAAATAAAATATGGCCCAAACCTCACAGATTCTTGTAATCCAAAGGAAACAGGTCATCCTTTCTTCATTCATAAAATAAACCTTTAAGGAACTCTTACAATGGATTAAGCATTGTGTTGGGAGATGTAGGGGATGGATAACCAAAGCACAGTGCCTGGAACACAGTAGGAGTCAAACATATTTGAATAAATTAAGTCAATAAATGATAGGATAACAGTGGCAACTGAAGGGGTTCTGGACTTAGGGCTTGGTGGTAGTGCATAGAAAAAGAATGAGCTCTGTTGCGTTTGAAAGCATCACCTGGTCATTCCTTACAGCCTGATTTCCCTCAACTTTACCTCTCTGTCCAGAGGGGTAGAGTGGCAGGAGGTGAGGGGAGACCATAAGGATAGCAGTGCTCAAATAGAAAACAAAGGAGGTTGTATAGGGCTAGAAGTGCAAGAGCTATGTAATTGCCTCCAGTCATTCAAATCCTTGAAAACTAATTATAGAAAAACATTTACTGAATATCTTTATGTGCCAGACACTGTTCTAAAATGCTTCCCAGAGTCTATACTCTTAATTGCTATGCAATAGATCCCTTCTAATACTATCTATGTAACTGTTTTTCAGGAATTTACAGTTGAAAAGGGGATATGGTAGAGCATAAAGACTTGAGCAGGTCAGGGGAAAGAGATGAAGAGTAGCAGAAGAAATAATTTCACCTTATTTTACTATTTTTCAGTCTTTGAAGGATTGCAGTATGACTCCATTTCCTTGATGCATTCATAAAATAGTTCACTCAGCGAAGACAGTGAAGATTATTGACAATGCTACCCTGCTTTTTCTGATGTCCTGCACTGGGAAGTTGTGATTTTTAAGGTAATTTTACCAAAAATTTATTAAGGGAGGAGGAGGAATAAGAGTTAATTATGACACATTAAATATAACTAACCAAACAAAAACCAAAACGCTAGCAACAAATGATAAACTTGAAACGATTTTCTTCATTACATGAAACCATATATACCATATAATAATAATGTAATATATAAGCTGTTTTGTTAGATTCACTCCTAATTACCTTATAGTTTCTGTTGTTACTGTGAAGTGTATCTTTTGAACCATATTTTCAGATTATTGCTGCTAAATGGGAACATGATTGATATTTTTACGTACTGTTTTTATATGCTGTAATCTTTCTGGATTCTGTTTGTTCTAATAATTTGTATATTCTCTGGATTATCTGTTATTTAATTATATTGTGAATAATGGCAGTTTCTTCCTTTCCAATATTTATGTGTTTAATTTGTCTTACTCTGTTAGCTAGGATCTTCAGTACAACAAGAAATAGTAGCAGTGATAAAGGATTTCTTTGTCTTGCTCCTGAATTTATAAGGGAATTCTACAAATGTTTCACCGTTTTTAGTAGATTTTCTTTTTCAGGTTAAGGAACTTCCTTTCTATTCTTAGTTCGCTGAGAGCTTTTATCATAAAAGTATGGAGTTTTTTCTCCAGATACTTTGTATCTGCTGCCATGATCTTCTGCGGTTTTTTCTCCATTAATATGACAGTATGACTGTGTGATAAATTATATAAATTATAATAATCGATTTTCTAATATATTTCCTGCTTTTGGTTTCATCAGGCCTCGCCACTGAATATTTTGTCTCCTATTTTAAAAATTTTTTCCTTTTTTATTTTTATTTCCTTCTTTACTGTCTTTTTGTTTGCTCTTTTTCTAATTTATTTAGGCCATTAGCTCAGTAATTTAAAATTCTTTTTAGGGTTTTTTTTTTGGTGGGGGGAGGTAATTAGGTTTATTTATTTATTTATACTTTTTGAGAGAGGTATTGGGAATTGAACCCAGGACCTCATGCATGCGAGGCACACGCTCTACCACTGAGCTATACCCTCCCCCCTAGCTCAGTAATTTTAAATCTACTTTTCTAAAATAAGAATTTGTAACTATTAATTTTCCACTATGTACCACTTTAAAAGAATTTCACAGATTTTTATATGTGTTTTTTTTACTATTCAATTATTATTTTCTAATTTCTCTTATGATTTCTTTTTTGACTCATGAGTTATTCTTTTAAATTTATAAACATATGGGTCTCCTTTTTAAAAAATCATATTGTAAAATAATTAATCTATAGTTAATCTTCATCTTATTTTCTGCTTTAAAATGTTTAATGTTTTTTTATTCTTCTGGTAACAGAAAGCAAAATTATACACTGGCTCCTCATCCCAATAGATTTAAGCACTATAAATCTTTTTCTTTCATTAAATATGTAAATACATAAAACACATTACACATAATGCATAATATAAATACATAATAAATCAGTACATAATAAATATAATACATAAATACATTAAATACATAAAAACTGTGAGTATGCTATTCAGTGAAGGAGTTACTGTTGATATTTATACTTGTGTTTTTAAACTTTTTATTTTGATCTAATCCTACATTTTAAAAAATTGTAAGAATATTCCAAAGAACTCCTATATACCCTTTATGCAGATTCGCCAATTACTGTTTTGCCATATTTGCTTTATCACTGTCTATCTTCTGTTTCTGTTTCTCCCTTCCCTTTTTTCTTCTCCTCCTTCACCACCCCTCCTCCTCTTCTCTCTCTGAACTATTTGAGAGTAACATACAGACATCATGCTCCTTTACCTGGAAATACTTAAGTGTATGTTTCCTCAGAATAGTGCCTTTCTCTTACATAACCTCAGTACATGTGTCAAAATAGAAATTTGATGTTGTTCTATTTTTTTGTTTCATAAACTTTTATTGTCAAGATTATCCACTCAATCACTGAAAAAGGGTTGAGTTTGGAAGAACATGTATTTCAAATGGGCAATGTAAGCTCTATTAAAGTTCCTTTTTTCTTCCAGCTTTATTGAAATACATTTGACATATAATGTAAGTTTAAAGAATACAGTGTGATGATTTGCTACATGTATATATTACAAAATGATTACCCACACTAATAAAGCTAGTTAACACATCTGTCATGTCACATAATTACTATTTTTTTGTGTGTGGTGAGAACTTTTAAGATTACTCTCTTAGCAACTTGTAAGTATATAATACAAAATTGTTAACTATAGTCATAGCTATATATAGTATTAACTACACTATATAGTTATGTAACTATATATACCATTACTATAGTATTAACTATAGTATAATGTACATCATGCTGTACATTAGATCTTCAGAATTTAATCATGTTACAACTGAAAGTTTATACCTTTTGACCACTTTCACCCATTTCCCCTACCCTCTCACCCCTGGAAACCATCAGTCTACTGTCTTTCTGAGAGTTCAGTTTTTTTTTTTTCCCCAGATTCCTTGTGTAAGTGAGAGCATACAGTATTTGTCTTTCTCTGTCTGACTTATTTCGTTTAGCCTGATGCCCTCCAGGTTTATCCATTAGGTCAGAAATGATAGGATTTCCTTCTTTTTGTAGTGGAATAGCATTCCATTGTATATATACACCGCATTCTCTTTGTCCATTCATCTGTCAGTAGTCATATTGTTTCCCCGTCTTGATTATTGTAAACAATGATGCAGTGAACATAGGGGTTGTGGATCTCTTTGAGATAGTGATTTCATTTCCTTCAGATACATACTCAGAAGTGGAATTGCTGGATCATATGGTAGTCCTATTTTTAATTATTTGAGGAACTTCCATACTGTTTTCCATAATAGATAGTTCAGTTTACATTCCCATTAAGGAATGTGCAAGCATTCCCTTTTCTTTATATCCTTGCCAGCACTCATTTCCTGTTTTTGTTAATACCTGGGATTTTTTTTATTTGCATTTCCCTGATCATTAGTGATGTTGAGCAACTTTTCATGTACCTGTTGATATGTGTCCTTGGAAAAATGTATATTCAGGTATTTTTGAATTGGATTGTTTTTCTGCTATTTGAGTTGCATGAATTCCTTGTATATTTTGGATATTAATTTCATATCAGATATGTGGTTTTAAAATATTTTCTCCCATTTCACAGGTTGGTTTTTCATTTTGTTGATTATGTCTTTTGCTTTGCAGAAGCTTTTTAGTTTGATGTAGCCCCATTTGTTTATTTTTTGTTTTTGTTGTTTGTGCTTTGGGTGTCATGTCCATAAAATCATTGCAAAGACCAATGTCAAGAAGCTTTTCCCTGTATTTTCTTATAGGAATTTTATAATTTCAAGTCCTTACCTTTAAGTCTTTAATCCATTTTGAATTAATTTTTACAAGTGGTATAAGATTGGGCTCCAGTTTCATTCTTTTTCATGTTGAGTGTTTGGTTTTCTCAGCATTATGTATGAAATAGACTATCTTTTCTCCATGGAGTATTCTTGACTTCCTGCATATGCAGGGGTTTTATTGTGGGCTCTCAATTCTGTTCTATGGTCTATGTGTCTGTTTTTAATGCCAGTATCTGCCAGCATCATATTCTTTTGATTATTATAGCTTAGTAGTATATGAAATTGGTGTTCCAATATTATATCTAGGCCATGTTCCAATTTGACCAATTTGCCCCAATAATGTCTTTTATAACTATTTTCTTTTCTTAGTTAAAATTTCAGTCTAGGATGATGCATTGCATTTAGTTCTCATGTCTCTTCTGTTTTCTTTAATCTAGAAGAGTTCAGCCTTTCTTTGTCTCTCATGACATTGACAATTTAAAATAATACAGGACAATTATTTTGTAGATTGTTCCTAAATTTAAATTTGTGTTCCAGTTCCTCATAATTATATTTAGATTATGCATTTTGGCAGGCATGTCAGAGAAGTAATTTTGTATTGTTCTCAGGGCATCTTATCAGGGGCACATAATGCTGATTTGATCCCTTGAAAGTAATGTTAACCTTGATTACTTGGTTAAGATGATGTTTGCTAGATTAATCCACTCAAAGTTCCATTTTCCTCTTGTAGTTTGTAATTTCACTGGGAGTACTTTGAAACTGTAAATATACTAAAATTCACTGGTTTTAATATCCATTGATGAATTCTTGACTGAATCAGTTAATTGCTGTGATGGCTGCAAAATGGTTATTTTCAAAACCACCATCATTTTTACTACATCTATTAATTTGTATTCTACTTCAAGGAAGAGCGTTTTCTCTCTCCATCTATTTGTTCATTTATTTATATTAGTTTAGGCACATAGATTTTTACTTTATTTCATGAATGTGCTGTTGCTATCATTAATTTAATGCTCAAATTGTCCCATTGGCAGCCCATTCAAGCTGGCCTCTATGTCCATTTGACATATTACCATCATTCTTTGATACATACTTTGACTTCAATATTTCCTTACTTTTTTACTTTCAGTCTTGTCTTGTTTTTCCTGCCTCATTGACCATTTCTCTATGTATCTCTGGTACCTTTTAGTGGCAGAGGGTATTTAGGAACCAAGACATGGGTGCATGGCTATTTTTTAGCTCTACATTATGTTATTCTTTTCCATTTAATTGCACTTAGTACAGACAGTGTGGTTTACATGATATTACTTAGTATTTGTTGAGATTTGCTTTATGTTCTAGAGAACATGATCAGTTTATAAGTGTTTCATGTGTGCCTGAAAATATTTTGTATATTCTAATTGTTGCATGGAGGGTTCTACAAATGTCCATTAAACTTGTTAATTGTGTTGTTTATTTTCTATATCACAATTAATTTTGTTTGCTGGATTTATCAATTATTGAGAGAGTTATATTCAGAATGATTGGGATTTGTCAGATCCTTGTAGTTTTATAAATTTTTGCTTTATATATTTAAGGCTTTATTATTTGTACATACAAGTCTGAAATAGATACACCTTTTATCATTCTTAGTGACTCATTTGGGTTTTTTTGCATTTGAAGTCTTTTGTCCTTTTGTCTGATAGACTTTCCTTTGTTTGGATGGTACTTCTTTTTTCTATCCTTTTACTTAGTTAATTTCTTTTTTTTTCTTCCTTTTATTTTTCAGAAAATGTTCTGCCAGAAAAAAGTGAATGCATTGATTAACTTCTGAATTTACCAGCAGGATTTATTATTATAATTAAGGAAAAGGTTTATACCTCCAAACATTATTTCTTTCACCAATTGTTTATTTTATGAAACTTCAATTCTTCAGTAAAGTCAAAAGATATTCTTCATGTAGATCCATCAGTTGTTTATTTTGCTACATATGTTTATCTCTCTATAAATATGTAAATATATATACATATATATATACACACATGCACACTTTTTTGCTTAACGATTTAGAAATAACTTGCAGATATCATGACACTTCAGCCTTAAATGCTTCAGTGTGTATCTCTTAAGAACAAGGGCATTACTGTTATCACACTCAGAAAAATTCAGTATTGATACAATTATCTAATATATTGTTCATATCAAAGTTCCCCAATTGTCCTAACAATAACCTTTATATCTTTTTATCTGTTTTGATCCAGGATCCAGTCAAGGATCATGCACTACATTTAGTTGTCATGACCCTTTAGTCATTTAAAATCTAGAATAGCACTGTCCTGTCCTTTTCTTTTAGTTTTTCATAACATTAGCATTTCTGACAAGCCCAAGCAGTTGTCTTACATACATCCCACAATCTGAACTTGCCTGTTTTCCCCAGGCTAATTTGAGCATTTTTAGTAAGAAGACTATACATGTGATGCTGTGTCTTTGCTATTGCATCACATAAGGAGGCACAAAATGCCAGTTGGTCCCATTCATTACTGATGATGCTAAGTTTATTGACTTTGTTTAAAGACTTTTTAAAGAGCAATTTTAAGTTTACGGCACAACTGAGAGGAAGGTACAGAGATTTCCCATATGTCCCCTGCCCCTACATGTGCTTAGCCTTTTCCATTATCAATATCCCATACCAGAGTGGTACATTTTTTACAGCTGATGAACCTACATTGACACATCTTTATCACCCAAAGTCCATCATTATATTGTTCACTCTTGAACAGTATACATTCTTGGTGTTATACATTCTATGAGTTTGGACAAATGTATAATGACATGTATTCATCACTGTGATATCATACAGAGTATTTTCACTGCCTTGAAAATCCTCTGTGCTCCACCTATTTATCCCTATTCCTCAACCTCTGGCAACCACTGATCTTTTTACTGTCTCCATAGTTTTGCATTTTCTAGAATGTTCTATAGTTGAAATCATATAGTATGTAACCTTTTCAAATTGGCCTCTTTCCCATAGTAATATGCATTTATAGTTCCTCCATATCTTTTCATGGCCTGATAGTTCATTATTTTTTTCAGTGCTGAATAACATTCCATTGTCTGGATGTACCAGTTTATTTATCCTTCACTTACTGAAGAACATACTGGTTGCATCTAAGTTTTCACAAGTATGAATGAAGTTGCTATAAACAGCAGTGTGCAGGTTTTTCTGTGGACATAGGCTTTCAACTCCTTTGGATAAGTATCAAGAAGCATGATTGCTTATATTTGCGTTTTTATAGTTATAATTATGTTTATCTGCATATACACATATACATATACATTATGCATACATATATACACACATATATATTTTTTGGAACCATTTGATGGTAAGATGCCTCATGACTCCTAACTTTTTCAGTATGTGTTTCCTAAGGACCTTTTTCATTTTTCACCAATTTTGCCAATAAATGTCATTTAGATCAAAAAAAGAAAGAAAAGAAGATCTGGTCCAGGATCTAATCCAGAATCATTTAGCTGTCATGTCTGTTTAGTTTCCTTTAATCTACAGTAGTTTCTTAGACTTTATCTAAGAAATAATGTTTTTGAAGATAATAACAGTTATTTTATAGAATGCCCTTCAAATTCAGTTTGTCTAATGTTTCCTCATCAAGTTCAGCTCAGGCACTTTTGCAAAGGAATACCACTGAAATGATGTTTTGTCCTTCTCAGTATGTTATATCAGGTGGTGCATGGTGTCAGATTGCTCCCTAACTTTTAATTTCTTGTTACAGAATACTATTCAGGAGATCTCAGAATGTAAGGCTTTGATGCCCTTTGGTGATTTCATGGATAGTTATGTGGTTACTTTTTACTTTCCCCTTAGGAAATAGTCACCATTTTTTGGACACAGGTGGAATTATAGTTTATAAATAGCATCATATTCCTTATATAAATTCCCTGTTTTTAGACGTACTCAGCATTAAGGGGAGCTTTCATGTCTGTTCTTCCATCATATTTTCCTGCCTTAGAGCATTTACCTAGCCTGGCTGGTTGTCTGTCTGTTTCTTATTCTGAGAAGAGTTTTTTTTTTTAACTGCTTCTAGTGCAGAGTTTCTTTAAGTACTTTTCTCTGTGTGTGATTAGCCATTCCCTTGCCCTCATTACATAAGGACCTTGTTATAATACTTTAGATTGATCATTTTTAAAAGAAAATATGATAAAGTTCCTTTCCTGGTAATTTCCTTTCCTGAAATGTTATGGTATCACCTTGGTCCTTAGTTTTTCTTGGAAGTGCACCAGCTTTTTTTGCATTGATTCTGTATTAGTTTTCTATATTGCCATAAAAATTCATCACAAACTTAGAGGCTTAAAACAACACATTAATTATATTATAGTTCTGTAGGTCAGAAATCTGGTACACGTTTCACTGGGTGAAAATCAAGGAGTTGGCAGGCTGCATTCCTTTCTGGGGTATCCAGGGGAAAATCTGTGTTTTATTCATTTGGTTGTTGACAAAATTTGGTTCCTTGTGATTGTAAGCCTGAGATCCCTGTTTCCTTGCTGGCTTTCTACTGAGGGCTTTTCCCAGCTTCTAGAAGCCACCTGCATTCTTTGGCTTGTTGCATCCTTCTTTCATCTTCAAAGCCAACAACAGCAGGTCAAGTCCTTCTCACATTAGAAATTCCCCATTTTCTTTTTTTTCTTTGGAAATTTACATCACCTAGGAGATATATATATATATATATATAATATATATATATATATATTATATATATATATAAAATATATGTGTGTGTGTTTGAACAGCATTGCACTTAAAAAGATTTACAGTGACACTAAGAGAATGTCAGATTATTTTTCTTTTAAAAAGAATAATTATATGACTCACTTTTGAGGAAAAAATAGGAAACAGAAGCATTTTATGTTGTTATAAGAGAATCTTTTCTGAAATAATAGAGTCTGGGTTCAAATATGGTTTCTCCATTTTCTGATTATATCAAGTCATTGAACTTCTGAGTCCAGTTTTCATCTCTTTAAATGAGGGTAATGAATATCTGTCATATTTGACTCATAAGCTATTGTGAAAGTCAAGTGACGTTAAGTCAAACAAAAGAACCGTGTGCATATGATAATATATTAAATCAACTGCAATTTTAGTTTCAGAGCTTCCAAATCAATGTGTCAACTCCTCCAAGCCTCCAAAGTCAGCCATGACATCACCACACTTGACCCGCAAAAAGGTAAATGAAAGCACATTTTCTGACTATTATCCTCAGTCATAAAGAGCATATAAAAGGGTCCTCATGGATATTAGATGCAGAAATTTTTCTACAAGTGGACTACATATACCCCACACCCTCTAATAAGGGTGGTTATTGATGGAGGTTTTTATCTTCACCCCACAAATTATTTTTCAGCTTTGTTGAGGTATAATCGACAAATACAATTGTAAGATATTTAAAGAGTAAGTCATGGTGATTTGATATACATATACATTACGAAACGAGTCCTACCATCTAGTTAATTTACACATCTATCACCTCCCTTTCTTTTTTTTTTTGGTGAGAGCATTTAAGTTCTAATCTCTTAGCAAATTTTAATTAATGTAATACAGTGTTACCAACTATAGTCACCATGTTTTACATTAGATCCTCAGACCTTATTCATTCTATAGTTGAAAGTTTGTAACCTTTTACCAACCTGTCTATTTCCCCCACCCCCCAGCTGCTAGCAACTACTCCCTATTTCTAGGAGTTTGACATTTTTTAAAGATACCACATTTAAGTGATACCATGCAGTGTTGTCTTTCTCTGTATGGCTTATTTCACTCAGAATAATGCCCTCAGGATTTATCCATTATGTTGGAAATGGTAGAATTTCCTTCTTTCTCATGGCTGAATATATATATGTCATCTTCATCCTTTCAGCCATTGATAGACATTTAGGTTGATTCCATAACTTGGCAATTGTAAATAACGTTGCTATGAACATTGGGGTGCATGTATCTTTTCAATTAGTGTTTTTGGTAGGTTTTTTTTTTGGATATATATGCAGGAGTGAAATTGCTGGGTCATATGGTAGTTCTGATTTTAGTTTTCTGAGAAACATTCATACCGTGTTCCACAGTGACTGCACTAATTTATGTTACCACCAATGGTGTAGGAGAGTTCTGTTTTCTCTACATTCTCACAAACATTTGTTTTTTTTGTTCTTTTAGCTGTTAGCCATTCTGACTCCTGTAAGGTGGTTCATTGTTTTGATTTGCATCTCCCTGATGGTTAGTGTTGTTGAGTATCTTTTCATGTGCCTATGGGCCATCTGCATTTTCTCTTTGAAGAAAAAAGGTCTGTTTGGTTCTTTTGCCCATTTTTTAATTGGATTGTTTGTTCATTTTTTGATGTTGAGGTTGTGGGAGCTATTTATGTATGTTGGATATTAAACCTTTATTGGTCATATCATTTGCAAATACCTTCTACCATTCAGTAGGTTGTCTTTTCATTTTGTTGAGAGTTTCCTTTGCTGTGCAAAAGTTTTTAAGTTTAGCTAGGTCTCATTTTTTTTTCTTTATTTGCATTTGTTTCTTTTGAATTTGGAGACAGATCCAAAAATATATTGCTTCTATTTATTTCAAAGAGTGTTCTGCCTATATTTTCTTCTAGGAGTTCTATAGTATCTGGTCTCACATTTAGGTGTTTAATCCATTTGAATTTATTTTTGTATGTGATATTAGAGAACATTCTTTTTACATTCTTTTACATGTAGCTGTCCAGTTTTCTGAGCACCACTTGTTGAAGACACTGTCTTTTTCTCCTCTGTATGTTCTTGCCTACTTTGTCATAGATTACTTGACCATAAATGTGTGAGTTTATTTCTAGACTGTCTATTCTGTTCCATTGATCTATGTGTCTGTTTATGTACCAGTACCATACTGTTCTGATTACTGTAGCTTTGTAGTATAGTCTGAATTCAGGGAGCTTGATTCCTCCAGCTCTCTTCTTCTTTCTCAAGACTGTTTTGGCTATTCATGATCTTTTGTGTTTCCATACAAATTTTGAAATAATTTGTTCTAGTTTTGTGAAAAATGCCATTGGTATTTTGATACGGATTACACTGAATCTGTATATTGCCTTGAGTAATGTTGTCATTTTAACAATATTGATTCTTATAATCCAAAAATGCAGTATACCTTTTCATCTTTTTGTGTTGTCTTCAGTTTCTTTCATCAATGTCTTACAATTTTCAGAGTATATATCTTAGGTAAATCTCCTTAGGTAGATTTAGTCCTAGCTGTTTTATTCTTTTTGATGTGATGGTAAATGAGATTATTGCCTTAATTTCTCTTTCTGATAGTTTGTTGTTATTGTATAGAAATGCAAATCTGTAGGAAACAGGAAGTCACTAAAGATTTTTTAAGGAGGGTACTATGTTCACATTTGTATTTTATATAGATCCTACTAGTGACCATGTGGAGGATGCTGTAAAAAGAGATTAGACTTAGAAAACTATTTAATATACTTTTATGAAGATCTTGACAAAAAATGATAAGGATCTGAACTAAGTCAGTCATATCTGGGGTGGATCACAGAGGAATGGATTTGAGAAAGTTTGATGAAATATTACTAAGTAGATGGTATATCAATCGAGGTTCAACTAGAGAAACAGAACCAGTAAGATATATATATTAAAAAATGCAAGGAATTGGCTTATGTGATTTTAGATACTGGCTAGGGAAGTCTGAAATCCACAAAGGAGGCTCTTGGGAAATGCAGGCTGGAACTCTCAGGCACAAGCTGAAGCTGGTGCTCATAGATGAAAATTTCTTCTTCAAGAAAGTCTCAGCTCTGCTGTTTAAGGCCTATCATCTGACTGAATCAGGTTCACTCAGGTTATTTAGGGTAATCTCCTCCAGGCATTAATCACTTGTACAAAATAGCTTCATAGCAACACCTAGATCAGTGCTTGATTGAACAACTGAGGAATCTAACCTAGCCAAGTTTACGCATTAAAAGACCATCACAGATGGGATAGGGGCCAGTGGAGACAGAATAATAATGAATGATTTTCAAGTTTCTGTCTTGAGTATTAGGTTAAAAAAACTAACTGAGATCTAGAATACAAGAGAAGGATCAGGTTTTCAACATTTTGAGGAAGATTCATCTGTAAAGTTCTGGGGTTACAATAAAAGTTTCTAGCAGATAAATACATTTGCAACCCATCAGCATAAAGATGATAGGTGGACCAGGGGAGTAAGTTAGATAATCTAGAAGAGGGTGTATATAGGGGAAAGTTACTAGTTGAGAAGGAAAATTCTGGGGACAACCAACATTTAAAGGATTATCTAGAAAAAGATGAAAAGATAAAGGATAAATAGGATGAGGAGAGGACTCAAGTTTTTGATGCCCAATTTTAAGAAAAATGCAGTTAACAGCAGCATCATATATAGTAGAGGATTCAGTAAGTTTAGTACTGAAAATTAGTGATTAATTTGTGAATTACGTTCATTAGTGAATTTAGCATGAATGATTTCAGTGTGGTTAAAGTGAAAGCCAAATTGCAGTGGGTTAAAGAGTGACTAGGAGGTGCCAAATTAAAGCTTAATTGATATAGACCACTCATAGGCGATGTTTAGATGAGAAAGGAAGGATAAAAATTAGGTAATATTTTAAAAATGGATAACTATAAGAGAATTAAGAGCCAAAGGAGGATGTACAAATGATAGAAATGTGAGAATATGTATTGAAGGTAACAAGAAAAGAAAGAGATTGACGATCTAAGTGAGAAGACATTTCAGAATAACTGAGAAAGAAAAGAAATAAGCCTAGTTATTAGAGGGGGATGCAATGCCAAGGGAAGGACTTGTTTTCTTCTTTGGATAGGAATAGAATAGTGGCTTTCAATGAGGATATTATAAACTCAAGGGATGGTTTGAAAGTTTGCGAGAAGCGTTTTAGAATATCATAATGACTGGAAGGCTTTCTGGCATATTGTGGAGAAGGTCAAGGTTGCTAAAGTCCTGCAATATGCAGGATAGCCTGCACAAAAAGTAATTTTTCTATATCCCATATGAGTTTTGAATATCCCGTTGGATATCTATATAGGTGAAAAACCTGTTTACCTTGATCGAGGCCTTGAGTTGAACTCTATTTTATACACAAAGAAGAAAGTTTAATATACACTGACTTTTCCCAGACTGCAACTACCATGTAAACCAGCATTAAGATCTTACTTTGTTTTGTTAGGTATGTTACCAAGAATGTTCATCATTTTGGAAAATCATTTCCCCTACAAAAATGCTGCTTTTGGATGTCTGAAATAACTGTAATGACACACCTGTATCAGTTAGCATTGGTAGTTGCCACATCTACAGGCTTTCTCTATATTTTTCTGCATCTGTTTGTTAGTGTTATGTTCACATAATGAAATACATCTTTCTTCATTATAAACTACTTTCTTTGTATTTGTCTTTCATATTATAGATATAAAATTTTTGAAATTATGTGTATTTTATTTCAGGATTGTTAGATAGGCATTTGAATATTTAAGGGTCTAGATAGAACTGAGAAGCACTAACCCAGAGAAAGAAAATAAGAATGAGTGAGAATGGTGATAAATTTTATGTAGATATGCAGAAATTTGTGAGAATGTCTGTGCATTATGCTTTGTGATAAAGGTTACCGTAACTCTAGTTGATAACACTAGTGAATTGCTTTCAGTCCTTATCTTGACCCTCTGTGACATTCAGAAGTCTTTCCAGTCTTCTTTTCTGTGGCATCCTTCTCTTCTAGTTCTCCTCTTACATATCTGGCCATTGTTTTCTCACTCTCTTTTCCTGAATACTCTGCCTGGATCCTTAGAATTGGTGATTCCTAAATCTTGTTTTGATTTTCACTTCTGCTTGCCTATCTCACCCACTTCTTTGAGTTACATTAAACACATATATGCAGAGGACTCCCAAATCTGTATCTCCAGCACAAGCCTTTAGGCCAGGCTTCAGACTCATGAAACCAACAGCCTGCTGGCTTTTTCTATGTGGATGCCTTATCAGCACCCCAAACTGAACACAGCCAAAACTGAATTTTTCATCACTCCATTAGCAGCACCACACACTTTTTTCTTATTCTTGATGGTACTAATACTCCCAAGGCAAAAATTAGGGCATCATGTCATATTTCCCCTTTCTCACCTCCACAGTTTAATCTGTCACAAAATCATAATGATTATTCCTTCAGAATATCTCATGAATTTGTCTTCTTTTCCATTCCCAAATCTCCCTTCCCATACCCTGGTTTGGGCCCTTATAATTTTTCTCCTACATGACAATAATAGTTTTCCAACTGATGTCCTGCCTATTCCATTACTGTATATTGACCTTTCGTACACCCTCTAGAATAAATATCTAGCTAT